CAAAAAAGATTTCACAAATATTGTTAGTGATCAAATAAAGGAAGTTGAGTTGGGTTGGGCATGTAGCACCTAGTGGAGATTAGAAATGTATACAAAATTTTAACCAGAAAGACTAAAGGGAAGAGAGTGGTTAGAAACGACAGAAGACACTGACATAGATATGAGAATAATATTAAAGTGGATGGTAGTTTACCAATGTTTCAGAGGTCCTTGCTACCTCCATCATCAGGGTGATGAGTGACTTATCGTCCTGAAAACATCCATGGTAACAAATATTTGGGTTTCACGAAAGATATAGTATTTCTTGGCTATTTAAGCATTCTGCTAGTTTCTCAAGAAGGGTTCTGTTCCATTGAGTTTGTTGGTAGGTTTGTTAGTCATGCCTAAAAGGAAATTATTATTATTATTTTAAATGCAAATATGACTAATGTTCTTCATGTTGAGTATAACAGTTGATAATTTTGTGTTGTAACTAATTAATTTACTATTGTTTTCGGTGCATTTTTAATTGGTTTAAAGGTTGTGAAATTGAAATAGCTGTATTTCCTCAAATGACTGCTCTTTTTTCCGATAGAAGGTGTTGATTTCTTGCTAATGTTTTTTGCATATGAACCATACTAGTCAGCTACTGCCATATTATAATGAGACTTTTAATTGATGCTAAATGTGAAGCCAAGTGGGTATATGGGCAATAAGAAATTAAAAATTGAAGTTGTTAGATTTATTACAATTAATAATTTTGGTAATAATTATTTTAAATAAAGAGTGAAGCTGAATTATCTCCTCTGTATAAAGCTGATGTCTAGAGTGTGTGGATTTTTTTTATCTTCCCGCTCCCTGTATGCCTTCATACACAACAAAAAATAAATTAATGCATTATTGCAATGTTGAACTTTCTTCAGGTACATAAAGTCTAAAACTAAGAAGCAGGATAATTGATCTTTGTAGGCAGCATTTTTTCATTGAGAGGTTTGCTACATTTTATTTGTAAGTAAGTTTAACATATAACCTGCAATTTCCATCAGTTAGTCAGATGAATCAGTTTAAACAAGTTTTAAAAATAATAATTTACATTCTTTGATTAAGTGACAGAAACTTTTAAACATTCTTTGGGATTTCAATAACCATAATAATGTTCCTTAGTTTGAAACAGGTGACCTCCTTAACTAATAAGTTTTAAATGTATATGATATTCTGAAGTTTGTCATATTCTGAATGAGTGGTGATTTTAGAATTAATTATGAGTTTGTGTTAGGAAGTTGGAAGTTAAGTCTGTTTAAATTATATTACCTCATCTTTACGGGTCCACATGATGTTTCAACCCAGACTAACATCAGCATCTTCACTGCCGTGGGAACCTCATTTCTAAAATGACTTTATTTGGTTACACATATCAGGTCCTATGTATACATAGTACAGTACATTGTAAAGTTAGTCTAGTCTAGTCCTCATACTTAGCCATCCACACACATGTGCCTGCATGCACATGAGCGTGCGTGCACACGTGCACGTGCGAGTGTGACATTAATTTTCTAAGACCCTTTGCTACAGAGAACTGCGGTAAGGAAAATGGTGCTAGGTGATTTTTGGTATCGAAGTTGCTTTAAAAATGTTTTGTAACCTCAGCATTTTTGCTTGTTAATGCATCCATTGCAAATTTTAACAACAGAAGTAAATGTTTCAAAGGTATCAAAAATTATGTTAGAAACACATTGCTGTAAATATGTCTGACCTGTTTCTCTTGTTAAATAGTCTTTGGAGGACAATGGAGTGTTGCAATGAAGAACGTAATTTCAGTTGTATGACGCAACAAAATGTCTCTGCAACGATAAACATGTGGGATTGTAATGTTTTGTTTGTTTTACCATAAAATTAAAATAAGAGAAACTGGAGCATCTGAACCACTAAAATAAGTGGTCACGTGCTTCCACAATAGATTCTAATAAGATACTTGTGAAAGTGCCCATTTTTTTGTCTTGGTATTTATTTAATAAAATATTGAAATT